TACCCCACTCTTCTCACTTCTTAGAGAACTTAGAGCGGCTTACATATATAGGCAGCAATTCAATGCCAACATTAACATAATAAAATAAAACAAAACATATACATTAAAATAATAGCTAAAAAGCATATCAAACATTAAAATCACTTATTTAAAATCACACAGTTCAATACCATAATCCGAGGTCATTCCAATTATCATTGTATCATTCTGTGGTCTCTTATTGTACTGTTACTGACTGAAAACTTGGTCCCACATCCATGTCTTTAGCTTTTTCCTGAAGGTCAGGAGGGAGATGGCTGATCTGATTTCACTTGGGAGGGAGTTTCCTAGCCGAGGGGCCATCATTGAGAAGGCCTTGTGTCTCTTTCCTACTAACCGCACCTGCAAAGGAGGTTAGACCGAGAGCAGGGACTCCCCAGAAGATCTTAACCTCCTAGCTGGCTGATAGAGGGAGATAGGAAAACTTGGCTTTATAGGCTAAAGTCGGCACTTCGAATTGTGCTCGGTAGCAGACTGGCAGCCAGTTGAGCTGATGCAACAAGGAGGTTGTATGCTCCCTGTACCCCACTCCAGTGAGCAGTCTGGCTGCTGCCTGTTGGACCACTTGAAGCTTCCGAACAGTCTTCAAGGGCAAACCCATGTAGAGCATGTTACAATAGTCTATTCTTGATGTAACAAGAGTATGGATCACCATGGCCAAGCCTAAATTCTCAAGGTACAGGTGCAGCTGGTGCACCCAGGTTCTTACATAAAAGCTGCAAGATATACATTACATTCCAAGCTAATATTTGAAGTATTACAGGCATGGGTCCTTCAAAGATTAGCCTGGAATGTAAATCATGTCTTGTAATTAACAATATTGGGAGGTCTTCCTGTTTCTGAATGGGTGCTTTCTTCCTTTGATGAACTTTTGCTTCCTGCCTAGGCTTGTAGCAACAAGGCAAACGGGGTGTATAATTGCCCACTGAACTTGCAAAAATACTGGCGTTCCTCAGCAGAGGATAAAAGGTGAAATGTTGCGGCTGCCAGATGTCCTCCTAATAATCTTGCTCAAAGGAAACTTTGAAATGAAGAGAACTGCTGGGAATGGAACGCTTGGAACAAGACATTAACAAAATATAAATTTTTAGTAAAACTGTGTTCCATCCATGATTACTGCAAGCTAGGGGGCATTTATGGCATTATGCACAGTTAAGCTCAGAAATCAGTCGGAGAAACTCATGTGCAAAATAAACACATGAAACCATCTTGGACAGGAACCAAGGTTCCATACAAATGCAGTTAAACGTCATTGAATGGCCAAAAATATGTTGTGTTGTAATATTGTGGACATCATGTAATTAATAGAGGGTTTATGAGTATAATGAAAATCCCTGTCCTGATAAATTTGTTATCTAAATTTTATTTTCGAAGTTAAGTTTATCTGCAAACCACCTTGCACCTCTTTCTGGGGATAAGTCGACTATTTATTTATTTATCACGTCAGAAGCAAATTGAGGGTAAAGTTATAATGTATTTAAAAACACAAAGTTAAAGGCTTGACATTATACCAAATGTCCTTTGACCAGAAGCTGGCCACTTGGAGTGCCTCTGGTGTCGCTGTGAGAAGGTCCTCCATTGTGCATGTAGTAGGGCTCAGGTTGCATTGTAGTAGGTGGTCTGTGGCTTGCTCTTCTCTGCACTCACACATCGTGGATTCCACTTTGTAGGCCCATTTCTTAAGGTTAGCTCTGCATCTCGTGGTGCCAGAGCGCAGCCTGTTCAGCAAGTTCCAAGTTGCCCAGTCTTCTGTGTGCCCAGAGGGAGTCTCTCATCTGGTATCAGCCACTGATTGGGGTTCTGGGTTTTCGCCTCCAACTTTTGGACTCTGACTTGCTGAGTTGTTCCTGTGAGCATCTCTGTAGATCTTAGGAAGCTGTTTCTTGATTTAAGGTGTTGGCTTGTTGGCTGATATTTGACTTACAATGTAAAATAATAATATGTAGAATAAGGGTCTGATTGAGCCAAGAAACTACTATGACCAACCTGGAATTACTAACCACACACTGAGTAGTAGAATAAGTGTGGTGGCTACTTCTACAGAACCCTGGGATGTATAGTTTGATGGGATACTTTGACCTTTCTGCTAGAAAGCTGTAGTGTAGAGGACTGGCTGTTGAAATGGAGTAAAGTTGCTATTTTTGTGTGCTCTAGATAGAATCATTTTGGCTTGGTTACACTAAAGAAAATAAAGAGAGCATTTACAGTATACCATTAAGACAGCCTGATATCACTTTAACTGACATGGACCAATGCTATGCAATTCTGGGAGTTTTAGGCCACATCTACACTGTTACACAATGCAGTTTGAACTGCATTATATGGTCAATGTATGACTATATAATGTGGATTAAACTGCATTGAACTGGATTATTATTATTATTATTATTATTATTATTATTATTATTATTATTCGTATCAAAAGCATTGCATAAATAGTATAAACCCGATAAAAACAAAAGGAGCGCAGGCGGCTAAATATCTTTTGACCAAAAATGGGCAACAGCAATGGCATTGTCTGTCGCCTTCAACAATTCTTCCTCTGTACATGAGGCAGAGCACAGTGGACAAACATATAGATGTGGAGTTGTCTGTTCTGCTCCACAGTCATACAAGGTGTGGGATTCTTTTTAGGTAGTGCAATTTTGCCAGGTTGTCTTTTGTTCTGCCCACTCCACTTCTGAGTCTGTTCAGGGACTTCCAAGTTGCCCATTCTTGGTTTGCCCCTGGAGGAAGACCCTTATGGGAGGTCATCCAGTTGGGGTTTCCTGGTTGGGCTGCCCGGAGGGATACCCTTGCTGTTGCTGGGGGGATGCCAAGAGGAGTGGTAGTTCTCATAAAGCTTTTCCTTGATTTGAGTCTACTGGGAGGAGGCTGGTAGCCATGTAGTGGTGGCTTTCACAGTGTTCAACCTTATTTCTCTCACATTTAGCAGCAACTTCCCGTCGCACATCCCATTGTACATTTTTAAAAATTGGATTATGAGAGTCTATCATATAATCCAGTTCAATCTGCATTATAATGGTAATGCAGATGGGACCTTAGCACTCCTTGGCAGAGATTGCTAAAGGGAATGTAAAACTACAACTCCTAGAATCACACCACATCGTGTCATGGCAGTTAAAGTGGGGCAAAATTGCATTATTTAGATAGTGTAGATACATCCTAGGAGAGCTTAGCCCTTCTATGGAACTTGACAAAAATCAGCAATATTTGCCATAGTAAGATCAATAAAAATGGCTATTCAAACTGGGGGGGGGGGGGGGGAGAGATACATAATACAGAGCAGTTAACATTTATCTGCATTTAAACAGCACATAACAGTATTGTGTGTGAGGAAAATACGAGAAAGGGCAGCTGATATGATGGAGACTAATTCAAAACCTTATTCTGTTTGTTCCTGATCATCATAAAAGAGAGAAAATCACTGAGTAGGTGACAAAAATGATCAGGCTGAGACACTTTAGCAAAGGCAAGGGAAGGAGGGCAAGGAAGCCACATTGTTTCTGCCATGGAAAAAAGTAGGAACCCCCACCGAGGCATAGAGTATAATGAGTACAGCAAAGACTGAGAATTGGGATTGTTCTCCTTTCCTTTCTCAGAATCAGAGAAACAAGATGAGATCCAAACAAGCCCCAAACAAGTAGATAACTCCAATGGATATAAACACATTTCTCATAGCACATATTTCATCTAAAGATGCCAAGGTCCTACATAACCATGGGTGCATCTACACCAGACATGGGCAAATGTTGACCCTCCAGGTGTTTTGGACTTCAACTTCCAATTCCTAGCAGCCAGTAGGCTGTTAGGAATTGTGGGAGTTGAAGTCCAAAACACCTGGAGGGCCAACGTTTGCCCATGCCTGATCTACACCATAGAATTAATGCAGTTTGGCACTACTTCAACTGTATTACCTCAATGCTGTGGAATTCTGGCTTTTGTAGTTTGGTGAGGCACCAGTACTCTGTGGCAGAAAAGACCAAAGAGCTTGCAGAACTACAATTCCCAGTTTAGATGTACCCTGAGTATGTCTATGCCTTCAAGTCAACTTATGATGATCCCATTAATTTTTTAGGGATTTTTAGGCAAGGAACATTCAGAGGTGTTTTTTAGGCCTGGATAACAACGGAAAAATTTGTTTCTAAAATCGATTCGTTTTTTGGGGTTTTTTGCGTTTCGATATTTAAAAGAATTCCGAAATTTTCCTTAAAAAAAGTTCGATATTTACGAAATTTCGTAAATGGTAAAAAAAATTACAAAACAATAACGAAACAATAACGAATCGATTCGTTAATGGCGGCCGCGATCACGCAATACGCTAAAAAAACTTCTGAAGCTTCCCTCTCCCTCTGTTGTTGACTGTTGGTGTGATATTATAATTTTTTTTCACTAATTAAACAAAAAACAACTATAAAACTTGCCCCAGATATGCGGAAATAATAACGAAACGACCTCAAACCAATAACGAAACGAATACATAACGAAATACGAAGCATTTACGAAACGAATTGAAAAATTCGTTTCGTTTTTAAGTTGCTCCAGAATGGTTCGTTATCGCTTCGTTAAAAAAAACAAAACGAATTTTAAACGAATTACGAATCAACGAAACGAAACCGCCCAGCCCTAGTGTTTTTACCAGTTCCTCCCTCTGAAATAGAGCCTATAGTATCATGCATTTATTGACAGTCTACCACTGAAGTAGTAAACATAAACTCTGCTTAGTTTCCAAGAAATGAGATCTGAAGCCTTTGCTGTAACATTGAGTATGGGCTAGTTTATTATGCTTTCCCATCAGCAAAGCAGTTGAAATGAGTCCCCTTCAGTTAAACTGGGTTGACATGGAAGTAGTACTTCTGGAAAAGCAGAAGGTCATTAGCACAGTTACATTTCAAAGGTTTATTATGTTTTTTCCAGGGGGGGGGGGGAACAAAGACTACGGCTATGAAACGTCTACTTACTGTGGCTGTGCCTGAGACAGTTTGTGCATTTGTGTCGCTTGTGTTTGGTTCGGAGTGCGTCTGGGCCGGCGGGTACATATTTAGCGTGTGCTCTGGAACTGTGGTTTGGCCTGTGTAGTCTGGGGTCGGGTGGGGATGGGGCGTGGTGTACTCTGCTGGGATGCCGTTCTGGGGAGGAGCAAACTGGGCCGAGGCATAAGGCTGTGCCATTGTGTCAGGAGGTGCTGTCGCTTCCTGATTACCCTGGGAAAGAAGAAAACAGGGGAGAAGAAAATACAGTTCATCAGTTGAGGTGTTGTTCAGCCTTTCAAAAATGAAATCACCCAACCCATCCTCATCAATACTAATATATGGCTTCTCTTGTGTCTAATTACCATCAAGTCAACCCCAACATATGGAGAGCTTATGATTGAGAGACCTTCAAGTCACTCTATCCTCAACAAGTCTGCTCATGTCTCAGGGCAGCCATGGCTTTCTTGGTTGAGTCCATCCATCTGTATTGTGGTCCTCCTCTTTTTCTATTGCCTTCTATCTTAACAAACATTATTCTCTTTTCTAGGACCTCTTCACACATGTTTTTTTCAGTGGCAGCAGCCAGCCTCTGATAACTACTTCTGGGTTGGCTCTGAGACTGAAGCACCACCACAAAAATGGTGATGGTGGGCAATGGCAGGCGCCCCATCTTTCCATAAAGAAAGATGTGTTGAGCAGCTGAAAACAGGTTTCCCCCCATGTGATGAGGCAAGGGAAAGCCACGCTGAAACAAGGCATGGGGAAACAGGTCCCCATGTCCCCTGTGTGATCACCACCAGAGCATGGCAATCCTATCTTTTCACGATATGACCAAAGTACAATAGCTGCAGTTTGATCAATCTTGGTTTGTTTGGAGAGTTCAGATGTGATCTTTTCTAGGACCTATTTATTTGTCCTAGAACTCTCATCTAGTGCCACATTTTGAATGAGTTAATTTCTTCCTGTTTTATTTATTTACTTAAAACATTTATATTCTGCCCTTCTCACCCTGCAGGGGACTCAGGCACAACATATATATGGCAAACATTTAATGCCAGGACATAAAACCATAAATATATACAAACATTAAAATCCTATTGGCTTTCTTCACTGTATAGTTGAGAGATGATACAGGTTGTTTGAAGTACTGTATTCTACCTTAATGAGCCTTCCTGCATTGTGAAATCTTCCATGGCGGCCCTTCTCTCTCTCCTATTCATAGGTATTTCTGGTGGGACAATGGGAAGTGGCTGACCCAGGCTTACAAATGGCCTTTCCAGATTATACATATTATTTCTGTACAGAAGTGAAGATCTTTCTGTTTCAACAGAAAGGGCCCTACAACTTCTGAGGAAGCCTGCCATAGCTGCAGGCAAAACATTAGGAGAGAATGCTTCTGGAACATGGCCATACAGCCCAAAAAACGTACAACAACCCAAAGGACTGATTGTTTTGACAAATGGACCTTGTACAACTTGCTGGATATTCTATCTATTATACTGGGTTTTTTCTTTTTCATTGATAATTTAGCTGGATTTTTAACAAGTTTTTTTTTGGCATTATCTGTTGAACTCCTAACTGGGGAAAATGCAAACTATATATAAATGCAATACAATAAATATGACAACTGCAATGCACATCATCATTGGTGATGAACCTTCATGAACCTTTTTTCAGCTTTACTTTTAACAATAGAACAGAACCTACATTGTGCTTGAGAAATGCAAATTTATGCTCACATAATTACATGGCAGTTGTGTTACACTCCCCTTCTGCTGAATATGACCAATCTCTTTTCAGACAATATGCTTGAGGAATGAGCAATGGCAGTACCTACAATCCTAGCAAGTCGACTAATACCTTGAAGATGCTAACAAATCCTTGCAAGCCATTCATGAGGAATGATTAAATATGCAGAACTTTGCACACACAGCCACAAATGTATTCTATGATAGTTTAAAAACTATAGCAATATCCATAAAGCATGTTATTCATATCTGACACCAACAGGGTTTGGCTGTTTAGTGTTGCTTTGAGTCATATCCAAACATTGATACTCCTTAGCTGTTTTTAATGCTTGCTGGCCCTGAAGTTAATAGTACATACATAGCACCACTGGAAATCAACAGAATAACAGGACATTGTAAATCTTGTCTTTGAGAGTTCTAATATTGGAAATTTCAAGTTATCAAAAATCATCTGGGGTCATCCTTTCATAGTGGATATGTTATTATTCCTTGCCTCTCTTCAGAGCCTCTTTTTTTCTTTCACAGTTTCCTTCTGCAGAAATAAATGTATCTTCCCAGCTGAAATGGAGGAATGATTGGAAACCAGGAAATGTGTGTATCTAGAGCAGGCATGGGCAAACTTTCTAATTTGGGGGCAATACAGCAATCTGGAGTGGGTTGGGCAGGTCGGGAGGAAGTGGTTTTTATCCAAACCCCTTCCCTGCCCTTTCCTCCCCTCCTTCTCCTCTTTCTGAGGCAGAAAGTGAAGGAAAGATGAGAAAAGTTTGGATCTTGGTCATAATGAGATGGTGGATGGGAGTATTGCCTACTCCTGATATAGAATCTTAGAGCTGGAAAAGACCCCTAAGGGCCATTCAGTCCAACCCCCTGCCATGCAAAAAGGCACAATCAAAGCACACCCAATAGACATCCTCTGTGGAAAAGCCTCCAGAGAAGGAGACTCCACCACACTCCTAGGCAGCCTAAACCACTCTCCAGGAAGTTCTTCCTAATCTTTTTAGTTGAATCTCTTTCCCTGTCATTTGAATCCTTGTGCCCTTGTCTCTAGAACAGTGGAAAGTCAGGTGTCTCTCCCCCCCCCCTCCTCAATGGGACACCGTTTTAAACCTTGAAATATAGTTCTCATGTTCCCTCTCTTCCTTCTCTTCTCCCAGCTAAACATTCTCCAGGAGGAAAGGAGGAAGGAAAAAGAGAATGAAGGGAGGGAGGAAAAGAAGAATGGAAGGAAGGGTCAAAGAAAATGGAGGGAGGGAGGGAGGGAGGGAGGGGGGAAAGAGAGAAAGAAAGACAAAAGAGAGGGAAGGATCGAAGGAGAAAGGAAAGAGAAGGAAGGAAAAAAAGAAAGGGAGGAAGAGAATGATGGAAGGAAAGATGGGTAGAAAGGAATGTGGGAGGGAGGGAGGAAAGAGAGAAGGAAGGAAAGAAAGAGAAGGAAGGGGGAAGGAAGAAGGGTGAAAGGACAAAAGGGTGGAAGGGAAAGAAGGAGGGAGGGACAGGGAGGTAAGGAATGGAGGAAGGGAAGAAGGAAGGAAGGAAGGAAGGAATGGTAAGAGAGAGGYAGGCCTGAGAAAAGAGCCSAAAGGTCTGCAGCTAGCCCCTGGGTCTGGGTTTGGCCTTACCTGATCTAGAGCTAGAATCCTGTTGGTGACCTTTGCATGTGTAATTTAAAGTTATGCACATGGATGTCTTTTATGGACAAAGTGCAAAAGGCTATGCAGTTGTATTATTCATTCCATCCAAGCCTTTCCTTGGCAGCTGTTGAGTCTCATGTGGTTCCACTGGGCCAGCCATTAAATAGCCAAGCATTGGGGGATGAAGGTGAAAGAGCAGCAGTGGCTCTTCTCTTTTCTAGTTGCAGTCCCTTAGCATATGAAAAGAGAAACTAGCTTCTTTTTCTTCCCCCTCTCTAGAGCACTGCAGTGAAGGTGAGAGGTCCATTGACTTCCCTGTATTCTTCCTCTGCCATTTAAGGGCTTGGAAACTGGTGCACGCATAGAACGTCAGGATTTCAGCTAGGATAATTTCAGCTTTTCACAACACCATCCCAGGGACCACAGAATTATATTATAAATCCCACAAGTAAGCATGATAATAAAAATGAGGTAGAGAGATGTCACACGTCTTTGACAACAACAGAGCAATATTGTTGGTGAAGGTCTGGTGGCAAAATAGCCAAAAATGGGCTGGAAAAAGGAGAAGCCAATGTCCATCAAATCCATATGTTCTTTAGTACAGGGACACAGTCACAATGTTGGCACCAACGCCACAGTCTGAATGCATCTCCAACTCCCAAATGCTGGGAGAAGTTTGCTTAGCTGGCCCTTTGCCATCTCCACAGTTTAGAGTTTGATTCTTAAATCCTATTGTTCAGAACCAAAAGTACTTTTTGCTTGATCATTTTTCACTCTAACTCAGGTCCCTTTTAATCTTCACTATATCCCAGGATCTGATCCCAGATTATCTTCATATCTCAGATTATAGGGCAGTGGGGACTCATATAATCCACTCCAAAGCAGATAATCTGGGATCAAATCCTGGGATATCAGGCAGTGTAGAACTAGCCTTAGTCTTGCTAACAATGTTTCCTTATCAGCACACAGCAAACAAACGAATGCAAATGTTTGCAAAGTGAGAAACAGGAAGTGGTTCCCTCTCCCCTTGCTTTAGAATTATTCTCATTTACAGGTCTTATAGGGTCAGTGGCACAGCAGGTTAAATCACTGAGTTGCTGAACTTGCTGACTGAAAGGTCGGCATTTCGAATCCGCAGAACAGGGTGAGCTCCCATTGATAGCCCAAGCTTCTGCCAACCTAGCAGTTCAAAAACATGCAAATGTGAGTAGATAATAGGTATAGCTCTGACAGGAAGGTAATGGCACTCCATGCAGTCATTTGGCCACATGACCTAGGAAGGTAATGGCACTCCATGCAGTCATTTGGCCACATGACCTAGGAAGTGTCTACAGACAACGTTGACTTTTCAGCTTAGAAATGGAGATGAGCACCACTCTGCAGAGCCCGAATCAACTAGACTTAATGTCAAGGGGAAACCTTTGCCTTACAGGTCTTATATTTTGGTCATGCAGTCTCAAGGCAAAGGATAATCCTGACTTGGCAACCCCAGAGAACACACAATAAAACATCTCTTGAACTTTTAGCCCCATCTTTGCCGTACCATAAGAATCCTTTGAAGCCATTTCCCTCAACCTGGTGCCCTCTTGAGGTGTTGGTCCACAGGTGACAATGTTGAGGGATAATGGGAACAGCATACTACATCTGGAGGGCATCAGGGTAGGGAGGCCACTTTAAGTCCTTTCAAAGGACAGTCAGAAAAATGGGCAGGACAAACTTAAGTAAAGATATAGGATGCTAGGCAGACCATTACGATCTTCTGGTTTTACAAATAAGTTAGACATATGTAGTTTTTTGGGGGAGCCATCATAAATGAGTAGAGCAATGTTAATAATTTGAAATGAAATGGAAA